CGCCGTATGGGGTGGCGTGTGTTTCACCGCGTGTCGGGCCACTGCCGTGAACGGGCGGGCTCAACTGCGGATGTTGGCTAAGGAACGGCCAGTCTGCTGGGTGCTAGAAAGTTGACTACCAATTGCTCAGCCGCCGCTCCTGCTTCTGTTGTGGGAAAACCAGATCTTCGTGTGACAATCTGAGCGCGCTTAGCATCTTTGATGCGTTGGCGAGCTGCGCGAAGTACCGTTCTGCGAGTTGCAATATTGCCTCTGGCAAGGTGCCGGCTCACGGCCCAGTCTGCCTCCGTCTGGTTGCGCATCTGCTCGCGCCAAACCGGGGCGCTGAAAGAATTTGGGTTAAAACATTCGCGCCTGCTTGGAGCAAAACGGGTCCCAAAAAGCGCGCGAAACCCTATTAGTTCCTCCTGCAAAAGCCTCATCCGCCTGGCCCGCCACCGTTTCATTGCTCAACCCGCTGCGCGGTGCCCAGGATGGGCCCCACACTCCGCAAAGCTGCGGACGCCACGGCACCTCTGCGCCCCGTGAAGGCGGCAGGCAAATCGCTTGAGGCCGCACTCCAAAACACGTACACACACACACGTGCGGTGGAAGACACGCGGAGGAGAAGCCAGCCACACAACGCACCCACACATCCGCAACGCGAACGACGGGGCGGATCCATGTCTACCGCACAATCTGCCGCTGCTGCCTATTTGCCGCCACCAATGGGCAGGTACCGCACGGCAGACTGCGATGGGTGGTGCCCCACACCCTCGCGGTGAGACACGCCGCACACCCCGCACACCCTCCCACTCCGCAGCGGGCACTTTCAAAGCAGCGGCCGGACGCCCCGTCACTCCCGTGCCATCGCTGCTGAAAACCAGAAGAATCCTCCTCGTGAACTACCGGTGCCTCTAGATGGAAGAAGAAGAGGAATGAAGGCATGTCAGCCGCACAGCCAGCAGCGGCAGCAAACGAAACACGGCGACACGCAGCGACAGCGGGGGAATAACGCGAAACTAAAAGTAATCCGCAGTGAATTATCCAGTTAGAAAAAAAATTAAAACAGTAAAAAAAAAAAGAGGCCCAACAGGACGCCCATAAAACAAAAAAAACAAGGTAGTTCTGAAGTAAAAGCACCTGCCGAAGCAATTTTTTGTCGGTGTCCAGAAGCACAAGAGGACCGTTTACGTGTATTTATCGCCTGCGCAAAACAAAAAAAAAAACTGCCTGATCGCACACGCACACATCACGTTTGCCCCTCACGGTAACCGCGGCCGCGTGTCTCGTTTGGGCAATCCGTGCGACGCACAGCCACGTGGTTGGCAGCGCGTGTGTGGGCGGCAGGAGTAAACGGGAGGGGAAGAGTGCGCTACCCATTGGGGACGTGCATGGAATGACGATGCAAAAAAAAAAAAGACTTTTAAAAAACTGGTGCAAATTATTCCAGAGAAAGCGCGGCAGAAAGTGAAATGAAAAGTAAAAAAAAAGATATATTAAAAAAAGAGTATAAATAGAAAGAGACCCGTCGAGACCGCGACAAAGACGCTGGATGAGGAGTTGCAAGCCGACACCCTTTGGCTCAGAAGACGGCTGCTGCGCTGCAAAGCCCCAGAACAACCAGCAGCATCACCCGAGACACACTCCCATCGTACCCAGCGCTGTCACCACCTCCTCCATTCAGCGACAAACCCTTACCTGCAGCTGGTTGTGTCCCCGGGGCCCGCGGAGACGCGCCGGCAGTTTCATTGTATGCAGCGCTCCCGTCAGTAGGCCAGACGGCGGGGCTGCTGGCTTTGTGCTGCGTCTCCGGAACAGGCCCATCCTTATGCGTGGAGCTGCCACCTGCACGTTGCTCAGGCGCATCGGAGTCGTCAACCTTTTTGAGTTCCTGTTCATTCAATGGACGGTTGTACAAAAAGACGTTCCTTACTATCACATTGCTGTTTTCGCCACCGCCAAAGTAAAAGTATAAGATCTCGTAATTCCGTGCCTCGGGAGTTGTTAGCGTGTCGGAATTACCCACGAGCTTGCCATCCACGTACACGGAGCCCTTGTTGTCCTGCAGCATGAGCGCCACTTTGTACTCCTTCCCCGGCTCCCAAGCGCCGCCGTGTGTTATTGTTGTCATACCGTTGAAGACCGTCCCCCACTGTTTCTCCGCCGTGCACGACAGCCCCACAAACTTTGTGTTTTCATTGTCATTCAGGCCCGCACCCAGCAGAGGAGCGCTCTCTTTCGGTACCTCATCGATCGTCACTGTCGCCACAAGCGTGAACGCGTAATTCACAAAGCTGTGCACATAGCCGTAGTCCCACATGTTCACAGGCCACATGGCGTATGATTCGGACCCCGTGAACTTAAAGCCATTTTCGACCTTCTTTGCATTCGTCACAGTTGCATTCACGCAATGGTACGCGTCGTTCCAAGTTCCATCACCCGATGCATCCGACAAGAATCCAACCAGACCGGCCGTGGGCACAGACGAGTTGGAGAGGAAGGAGTCCAGTTTTGCCCAAGTCTCCAAGACGGACGTGATCGTCTTCAGCTCCTCCGTTAGGGAAGCAAGAGACACGCTGCTTTCCATGTCATTACCCCTCTCTTGTAAAAAGTACAACGCATCTTTCGAGTGCAGCAGGGTGTTTCCAGATGTCGGTGTCGTGTCAGTGTCCACGGAAATGGGCCCGAGGTGAAACGTGCGGTCTGTTGTCAGCAACCCAAAGGTAGA